TTGACATATTAGGGCTCAAAAGACACGGAAGATGGAGATTTTCCACAGAGACAGAAAGGTGGATGATCATCTGCAAAATAATATCGAATTTGACGAGAAAATCATGCACGATGGCGGTCATCCAAATACAGCAGTTTCGCAGGTTTTGCAAAATAGTCCGATTACTATTGTATAAGCTGTAAATTCAGTTTTAATATTTAAATAATATTTGTTTGTTTTTATGTTTAGTCTTTAAATAGCATTAGTTCTTTAAATATGAGGTCTGTTCAGAAATAACCGAACTTTATTTTTTTAATCTATTATTAATTTTATACATTGTTGGTTCTTGTCTCTTTCAAAGTAGGTTGTCCCCTCTCCTATTCACACATTTTTCCCAGCAGTTTTTCCATTTCGCGAAGCAGTTCTGGATAGCTTTATTTATAATGGCCTTCAATTCTGTGACGAATTTGCTTTGATGTCATCAATAGTCTGAAAACGGCTTCTTTTCAGCACCGATTTTAATTTCAGAAATAAGAAAACATCACATTGAGCCAGGTCTGGAGAGTAAGGAAGGTGAGGGAGGGCAGTAATCTGATTTTTGGCACAAAACTGACGAATTGACAAAGCCGTGTGCGCGGGTGCATTGTCATGGTACAAGAACCATGAGTTGTCTCGCCACAGCTTTCTTCTCTTTTTACGGATTTCTTCACGTGCCCGTTGTAAAACGTCTTGATAGCACACACGGTTCACTGTTTCACCTTGAGGCAAGAATTCTAAGTACATAATTCCATTAAAGTCGAAAAAAACAGTGAGCATCACTTTGACATTCGATCGAAACTGACGTGCTTTCGTGGGGTGTGAAGATGCTTTGCCAGTCCATTGTGATGATTGAACTTTTGTTTCAATGTCGTAGTCGTAAACCAAGCTTTCGTCTTTCTTTTTCTTTCTGTTGTTCGGGCATCAAACGAGGAACAAATTTTGCTGCTACTCGATGCATGTTCAATTTTTCAGTTCAAATTTCATGACAATCCAATTGAGATGCTAAGCTATTCAGCAATTTCTCTGACAGTCGAATAGTCGATTTGGCGATTTACACGCACTATATCTTTGACTTTCTGAACGTGAGAGTCATCAGGTGAAGTCGGAGGCCTTCCTAGTCGAGGATCATCTCCAATTAACTGACGACCACTTTTAAATCGTGAAAACAATTCGTAACATTGCGTACGACCCAATGCATCTTCTCCGTAAGCTTGTTTCAAAAGTTGAAACTTTCCCGTGAAAGTTTTCCCCAATAAAATTTTATGTTGCATCAAATAACAATATCACGAAATCTAAATGAGTTGTCAATAATCTAAGTACATGAGGTTACAGAAGAGGTCATGCGCAACGCAATGTTGCCAACCGCATATCACCAAATATCTGCATTAGCGCATAATTCACAAAATTCGGTTATTTTCTACCCTGGGTGACCACCCCAACGACCCCCCCCCCCCCTGCCCGCTAACCTTTTCTGTTTCAGAGACAGCCAGGATCAAGAAACGAAGACAACGACACACACACACATACACACCCCCCATACCCTCCTTACCCCTCCCCTCCCGCGCTGGGCTAAGGGCCACCTTAGCAAAGCGCATCCCAGGCTGCATAGCCGCACTACCCTACCCAACCATACCACACATAAACATGACACTACCCCCGGGGTTTACACAGACGAGCCGGCGAAGCAAGAAGAGCGCCAGAAGAAAGGGACCTAGCCGGCGGGGCCCAGCCAGGACAAAAGGAGGTCCCACAAAGCGCCTACACCGGCCGCATTTGCGGTCGGGGTAGACGACGGATGGGGCCCACCTACGAAGGCTTTCCAGGCCTACACGAGATGAGGCAGGATAAAGAGGGATAATCCCCCTCGATCCCAAATCATTGAGGCCAATTTCTAGCCATGGAATAATGGCGTGTGGCGGTTATTTTCTGAACAGAACTTGTAAATATATGTTTCTTTATTTTATTTATGCCCTGATGAAATAAGGTAGGTTATGTGTTATATTAATTTTACTTACCATTCAAACGTCTGTAAGTAATTTATTACGTGTTTGTTCTAGCAATGAGTATAGCAGTTCCAATTCTTTTTTTTTTGTTTCATTTAAACATGTAAGTAGTCTAAACAAGACAATGATAATAGGAAATTAAAAATGATTCTGTTATCATTTCAGAATCTTTAGGTGTAGTCGATATTTATCGATTGTCGATTATACTACTCCAGGGCATGTAAAACATAAATGTGTTAAAATCCTTGGTATTACAATTGATGATAAAATGATTTGGTCTGACCATGTTGAGTCCATGAACAAGAGGTTGCAGTTGGAGTGTTTTTTTTGTTAAGGCAACTGAGAGAGGTGATTAGCATTGATACTTTAAGAACAGTTTATTTTTCCTTCGTTCATTCCATTTTGTCTTATGGTATTGTGTTATGGGGGGCTGCTCTAGTGCTTTAAAAACCTTTAGAATCCATAAAAAGCCATTCGTATTCTGGCCAACGTAGGTTATATAGATCACTGTCGTCAACTTTTTGTGAACCTTGCAATTATGCCCTTGCCATCGCTATTTGTTTATTACTGTTTATTGGATATTCATAAGAATATTGCCAGTTACACGGTTCAATCGGATATACATAATTACTGTAGGTACTCGTACTTCTAAATTCTTGCGGCTATCTAGATATCGCTTAGCACTGACTGCGAGAAATTCCTTAAATTTAAAGATGTACAACGAGATGTACAATGTCCTCCCTTCACATGTAAAATCACTATGTTTTGTCAAATATAAGTTGTGTATGAAGAATTATTTGTTGTCAAAATGTTTTTAGTCCGTTAGTGACTTTATGGATAGTGTTCATGACTTTTAGTGGTTGCTTTCACTCTGACGTTTATTATGTTATAAAGTAATTTTTATTGTTAGGTCAATGTGTATTTCAATTAGTCTAGTGCTTTAGTTGTCTTTTCTTAAATTGTTGTTTTTATGATTGTGTGTTTCTTTGACTTGCTACCATAATATGTTATATATTAATGTAGACCAATAAAATATTCTATTCTATTATATTCTATTCTAATTGTTTGTGATTGAGATACTTCAAAAGTTATACCTTTCTTTATATTTACGAATACATTATCCACATAAACACCTGCAACAACACAAATCTGATTATTTTTGTTACAAATAGGTCCTAGTTGATATGTACAAAGTGATCTATTGCTTGTCACTTTGTTTGCTGAAGATGTTATATTTTTTAGATAAAATCGCAAGTCCAAATAATTGGATTTAAACCCACCTCTAAAATTTAAACACGACCCTAGTAATCCTTGATGGAATGAAGCTAGTTGCTCCTAGAAAATATGTTTAATACATTATGTACACGAATGAATTACCTATACAAGGTTAAAAACGTGTTCAATAAACATGCAATGCAGTAATAGTGTAGGCCACAAACAAAATTATTATTTTCGTTTGAAATAACTTACATTTTCATAAATATGTTTTATTGGAAAATAGTAAAAAAATAAATAAAATATAATACGAATGTAAGGTATTTAACCAAGTGTTAAACATAAAAATAATACTGCTTCCAAGTTTGCAGATATCATATAAAAATCTAGTCAAAAGAATGAACCAAATAAATAATACTGATTACAATTTTACTAACAATTGACAATAAAAAATAAGTTTTGCATAAACTATTTCTCCTATTATAGAAGAATTCAAATATACGTCAACTGCATAGCTTTCATAAATGATTACAAGCCACGAGACCAGTAATTCTGATTGGAACAGTGATTTCATTTCCTTCATGTTGACAATTAAATTTCGATGAAATAAAAAATTATTAACATTAACACACAACATTTTATTTCACCAGCTGTGATTGGAGCTATTTTTTACGAGATTCAATTCAACCAATCAACAAACTCGAACGGTTTGTCAATGTTCATTGTAAACGAATTATTAATATTGGTAACGTCAAGATTTGGGGCAAATTTCATTGCCAGTACCAGCCCTGCAGTGTTAGTTGCCTAAGCTTAGCGGTCACGTGGTTTGTAATCAGTTATGAAGGCTCTGTAATACATTCTAAGGTCTAATCCAAAATGTTTAACTTTCTCTAGTTTATGCAGGGTGTCTCATAATTAGCTGCCAACAATGAACAGGCCGATTCTATGATCAAAACTAAGTAAAAAAGTTCATATGAACATGGGTCCGGAAATGCTTCCTAAGGGCACAGGGACCCATTGAAGAGGGAGGATTGGAAATCATTTTTTTGCAATATCTCTCAATCGCGTTGTGATAAATGAATGAAATTTGGTATACACAGCTAAATTTTGATGAGCAATTTGATGGACTAATCCATTTATTTAAGTTACACACGCAAAGTACCAAGGCCCCCCCCCCCCGTACCCAACCCCAATGGACCTTGTGGAAATAAATGGATTAGTCCATCAAATTGCTCATCAAAATTTAGCCAAATTTCATTCATTTATCACAACGCGATTGAGAGATATTGCAAAAAAATGATTTCCATTCCTCCCTCTTCAATGGGTCCCTGTTCCCTTAGGAAGCATTTCCGGACCCATGTTCATATGAACTTTTTTACTTAGTTTTGATCATAGAATCGGCCTGTTCAGGGTTGGCAGCTAATTATGAGACACCCTGTATATTATACAACGGTAGACTACGAGTTACTATTTTTAATATCATGACAAATTGTTCAAACAGTATAACAGGCTATTACAAACTGCTGAATAATAGTTATTATTACAACTAATTAATAATACACCATAAAATAATGGAAAAAAGAAATAAGTTGATATTCAAATTAAATTTTGTCTTTCGTTCTTTACAGTATATTCTCAGCATTAAAACTATGGTTAATAGCTGCCTCTCTATCCTTACCAAGAGAGTTATTGTTAATATTGAAATTAAGACATTTTGAAAACACCAATACCATTATAAACAATCCATTTGAAGAATTCGATTTCTGTTTTCGTCCTTGTGATGTTTGATTGATACACCAAACCGTATACCAATGTTATTTTTTCTGAAGAGTATAGTTATAATTATACAAACCACTATTCACACTAACATGAAGTTTGGGTGCACTTTTATCGAACTCATCTAATTTTTTTAAATCACTGGACGCTTTATTTTGTTCTCGCTCTTCTTTAGCTAGTTCTTCCAAATCTTTATTATAATTCTCGATCTGGCCCAATGTTACAGCAGGTTCGTTAATCGTATTAGGTGTAAATAAATGATCAAGATGATTGTTTGATATTTCTTTTACATTCTTAGGTCCTTGTTGAAACAGATTGTTTAGGATATCCGGTACTAATGGTGGTTGTGTTGGCAACTTCAATGAGGGCAGAAGTGGGGGATATGGTGTTGATATTTCCACAGGACGGCTGAGATATGCCACTGATCTAGGCGCTGAATTGGATAATTTTGGGTGGAGCAGTTCATAATGGAAAGTTCTTTTCAGTGTCGGTTTCAGCTGAAGCACGCCTTGAAGTGAATAAGCGAAGGTTAGTATATGTAGTGCCAAAAGTGACGTGAAGATAGTAACCTGAAAAAGAACATGTCCATTCAGCTTCTTGAGAATCCATTGTAATAAATACTGAATGCTGTTAAGTATAAAGAAGTAAAGAAGAGTCCTTGTTAATTCAGTATAAACATTTATTTTTCCTTTCTTATTATTTTCAAATATCATACCATCATGAGAAAAATAAAATAGCAATCATTAGAAAAAATTTATAACATCTTTTATTAGTTGATACATGCAGCTAATTTTCTTTTTCCGTTGATAGCAAAATATAAACTAAAACTAGTAGAAATAAGTATAAACGTTTATACTGAATTAAAAGGGGCTCTAGTTTATACCTTAACAATATCCGTTCAATTTTTTTTATTACATACACATAATAACAAAAAATACATGGCATGTTTAAATACAAAAAAATACATTCGTTCCTCCCATTATCGATAATTGTGACCCCAAAAATATTAAGTTGGAAGACTACCGCCTAAAATATTCTTTCATGATTTACACAATCATGTGCTATTAAAATTTGTCTATTAGCATTTGAAAAATTGTTAATCTTTTTTATGAAAGTGAAACCAATCCCAATTTCAGGCATTTATATGATAGAAATTTGAGGAACAGAATTTTTTGAAAATTAAGGAACAAAAAATGATTGAAATTTTAGCATTTTATAAGTATCCAGACAGGAGATATTTTAGAACATGTCTATAGATACTTTCTTTTTCATATGTTAGGAATCATCTCCTGAAGTTATTCGCACTTATTTTGAAACATCTTCTACGATTTCAGCGTTTATTTTTAACTACCCTGTATCATATTTCATTCATTTCTGATCGTGTGTATTCAAAACCTGTTTATGCTATAAAAGCAAAAAGGGAAATTAGAGTTAAGCTTTACTGTGCAAAAATAAAAGCAGTTTCTTTTACATAAGAGGTAAACTCTCAAAATATTTTAATACAAATAACAAATAATTATACATGTGTTCTTAAAATGTCATGCCATACTGATGTAGGAACAGAAAATGACATTTTAAACAAAGGGTTTATGCAGGCCCGGATCCAGAGAATGGTTTTGGGGGTGGCGCAAAGCACTTCTTTCAGAGGAGCTTGACACTAATGAATCCTTCTACTTGCATTAATATCGACTAACTGCCTGTTGTCGTTTGGAGAAATTGAAGATCTTTAAAAATTGTTGTGCTTTGGGGGTGGCGATCGCCACATCGCCACCCCCTCTGGATCCGGGCCTGGGTTTATGGTTTTATAAAAAGGGTATCAGAAAACACCGGCTGGCTTACTGTTATAATTTAAAAACATAGTTTTCAGATAATAAGTAGCAATTTTAGATTTCTATGCTTTATATTTATTTCCTTCGTAATGAACATCAAACTGGAGCAGTAGCACTAGCATTATATAGAATTGGCATGTTATAAAGACTTATTTGTAATAATTAGTACTTCCCTTTTACAAAAGGTACGTAGGTGTATTTTTGTTGTAGTTAAAAGTGTATATTTTAAATTTATTATTAGTTATAACGGCATTCTTCATTTTAAATGTAATTACCTCCACATCGGTACACGAAAAATTAAAAAAAAAAGTTAGCTAAGATCGCTTAAGATATCTTAAAACATCGAGAAATAAAGTTTTCTGAATCTATCCTGTCTTGTCTGTATGTTTCTGCCATCGGTTTACGATATCAATCAAATAATTGTGGTCTTGTGGAAGATAAATAAGAAACTTATACTACTGCATATATAAACCTTTATTAATACAGGGTGTCGGGAAAGGTTATGTCAAAAATTAAGGGGTATACAGGGGAGGTTAAAATAGATGTAGTAATACATATAAAAATTTTCCTATGCGGTTTTGTTATGGAGTTTATTCGCCTTCAAAGAAAGAAGTTTGAAAAACAAATTCCAATTATAACTTCTATTAAAGCAATAACTCATGGTAATGGTCATTTCCAAGTTTAAACTGATATTCAATAATATGCTTGGATTATACAGGAGCAGACGAACTTATCATTTAAATTTATACATCATTTACAGCGTTGCCAAATTTGACATTAGACCGAATCGAACTATGAAAGAAAGATGTATAAATTTTAATGAATAATTTTGTCTGCTTCTGTATAACCCAGATATATAGAAGCTATAATTGAAATTTGTTTTTCAAACTTCTTTCTTTGAAGGTGAATAACTCCACAAGGAAGACCGATAGGATAAAAATTTATATGAAATACTACATCTATTTTGACCTCCTCTGTATACCCTTTCATTTTTGACATTACCTTTCCGGAGACCCTGTATATTTTCATAAAAATGTTCAATTCTCAATACTTGGTGTTGGTCTACAAAAACTTTATAAAACACAAATACTATTTCTAGAGTACTAAGGCAAAACTTTGTAACTTTAATTGCAATAACTGTTATAAATTATTATTAATATTTTGAATTATAGAGTATTACACCACCTACTTGGACTGCTTTTTGGTCTTGGCATACAAGCATAGAAGTACATTAGATTTGTTTTATATTGAAAAAATAAAATAATGAGTTACAGCAGAAGTTTAATTAGTTTAACCAATTATTATTATTCAATTCCAGAATACGGTACAAGGAAGAATATTGTAGCAAGGTAAATTATTGATCTAAATCAATTTATTTTCATCGAATGAACTTACCCTTGAAATAGCGCCCATTATTTGTGGACACTATGTATATAAAGGATAGAAGTTAGTTGAATTTGGAGCAGTCAATTGAGTTTCACCCAGAAACGATGTTCAATAAGAGTACATTTCTTCGTTTAGAATTAAGTTTTATAATATAAGATATATAATATAAAAAACATGACCTCAAAAAATATGGCATAAAATATCGCCGGAAGAGGCAATAGCCAGTGTCCTCTAGCAGATGACAATAACAGTAATGAATTAAGTATGTTAAGAAGTCTATCTGTACCAAATTCAATACACTTTTTCCGAAAATTTAGTTTTATAGAATTATCTTCGACGTCCTGATACGTCCGCAATAAAAGACATTAGGTCCATGGTCCATAGGAAAAAATCATCTTACAAATATTTTTGATATATCATCACTTCTTCTCTTTTCTTATTTCAATCAGTAGAATGTATAACAGTAAAATTTCAGAGCAATCCATGAAACTTTCAATTTTTAGGATTTGTATATCATCGAAGTGCAAAAAAATGTTTATTACTATGTAATTAATTCTGTCCAAATAACCTACCGAATAAGAATGATTTTTTTGTGCCTTTTAAAGTACTCTGGCGCGAAAATTAATTATTTTCTTGAAAATATTATGATCAATTTTTTTTGGATACAAAACCTCTGTTGTCGACACTATCCCTGCTACATTTTAGTCATATAACTTTTTGCTTAAAATGGCTTTTGCTATCTTCTATTTCATGTTAGATCATATTTTAGAAATACTCTTCCTAATACTTAATATCAAATAATCAATCATTTGAAATTATCTAGATAAGGAAGATTTACATTGAAGTTTCAAATTTTCTCATTCAGTCTTACTTAGAAAATTATTAGGCACTATTACGGACTTAAATATAAAATTTAGAAACGTTTAATTTTTGTTTCCAATAAAGTACTAAGGCAGTCTTAGTTATTCTAAATAAATTTTATGTAAAAGGTACACTTCGATGGTGAAAAAGTAATAAAAAATAATTGTACAAATCATTTTAACAATAAAGTAGATAAGGTAAGTACCTAGATTATATAGATACCTACGTTTCTGACGCAATTGCCATATTTTTGATACACTGTAACATTAAAATTATCCTTTATTTAAACCTATCGGTTAAACAAAAAATAAAAATCTAAATATATTTAAGAAAACAGTTTATTTAGAATTTTTTATACTTGTATTTTAATTTCAGAATATGTCATGTTTAAAGTTTAGTAAATATAATTTCGAATTCAATGTTCAAAAATGTATTATAGCCAATTTTATTATCAGTGATAGAAATTTAATTACTTATTATTGTTCGAAGATTACTGGAATAATAAAACTATCATGCGAATTTATTTTCGAAAATGGACATTAATTTCAGCACCAATTGTTCACACTTTTTTAAATATATAAGCTAATTTTTTTAACAAATGTTTTTGTTCAGCAGGACCTTGAGCATTTCGTTTTTAGTTCTGAAAATTAAACTCCATATTTACCATTTATGGTGAAATGGATGTGTATGTTTGTAAATTTCCTATTTTGTCTAAAAATGTAACAGGAAAAAACTACGTCTAACGTTATTGGCATACACACAAAAAAGTTACGGGATAGCCAGTGGCGTACAGGCACTAGAAATAGAACGTCCTTTATATGTATTCTCTCCAAATTCTATATTTACCTTACCCTTATATATAAAAATAAGTGTACCAAATTTGAAGTTTCTAAGAAAAATAGTTTTCAAATTATTTGAAAAAAATAGGTTATCTATTCTATATTTAGAAGGCTATATCTCAGTAGGAGTGCACTTTTGTATATAGGTAAGTTAGGCTAAATAGTCTTGTTTTCATCCAAGGAATCTGTGGTCAAGCGTTGTCCATCCTTTTCAGGGTCACCCTGTATATATTAATTTTTATGTTAAAATTATATTTTGAAATTGAATATTTTCTTGTACATTACGTGTATTATTAACAATGTTCAACTATAAATTTCCCTTGAAAAAATAAATGATGCCCGCCACGCGCCGCCCGACCGGCCTTGTAGAATGTGCTCTTAGGCACAAAACGTTGGAGACCCCTGCCCCCTTATACCATATACTATTTATGTTCTTTCATGGTTAAATCATGCGTGAAAGTTCTTCATCAGATCTTTTTTCGTGCTATAATTTACATATTTTTTCCTTATATTTTTATATTATCGATGAAAAAGGTTGTATAAAATAGGATGTCAGACATTTCTCCTGACAAATATCATAAACAATATGGGTTTTCGGAAACTATGAAATAAGACCAGATGAATCACTAGCAGACGATTTCCGATTTCAATAGG